GGATGATCTCAGTGATACAGCTCCGTTAGACTCAGTGATACAGCTCCGCTTTATTAGGGTGAAACTAGAAGATTTATAGTGTGGAGGCAGTAGCAAAAGCCTCAGCTGATAGGTGCTCTGTAGGATGCTTTATTTACATGAGGCGGTGGGCTTCTATCAGTCAGGCTGTCAGACAATGCCTGATTATAAAAAACCTGGTAGTTTCTATGCCAGAGGTCATGTTTCTGTGGCAGATACTTCAAAGGTGAGTCAGGAAGAGAGTAGGAGGCACCCCGCTGAAAAGGGGAGTCTTTCCATTATGTGCCGAGCCGGCTTGCGGCTATCCGGACATGGAGAGACTGTGACCCAAACAACAGGGGTCCCCAACACTAATTGGGTGAGGTCCACCCACGGCATCTAAGGTCTCCTTGACTGAAGTCAGCTGGTGGTAGATCTTAACCACTTGTGCAAAATACTTCACAGCAATACTTAGATTCATATTTGATTAAATAATTGAATATTGTGGCTAAGTAGACACCTGAGTTTAACCATTGCAGCACCCTCGCTTACTACTTAATGGGCTACAACTTAAGGCCACAGAGAGGCCCAATTTTATATGTACAAATTGACAACACTTTAGTATCTGAAAATACTAAGTACTAAAAGTAATATAGATCAGCAGGACCTACATACCTTGTTGACGAGAATGTGCATTGTCACATCATTCTGCCATATAAGTTTTCACTTCCTGAGAAAATTAATCACCTGTAGCTAGGCATGGTGGTTTATGCCTGTAATCTCAGTATTTGGGAGGCAGAGACAGGAGAATTGCTGCAGGGTGGAAGCCAACCTGATTTACATAGCAAGTTCCAGATCAGCTGAAGATACATAATGAGAAGCTACATCAAAAACACACCGCGCACACACACACACACACACACACACACACACACACGGAGTTAATCACTTGAATGCACACAGGAGTACCACTCCTGTAGACCCTTTTGTGTACAAATGCCAATTGATAGGCAATATTGTCTACGAATACAATAATTTATAAAAAACATAAATAGCAAAGTAACATCAACCTGGTAACAAAATCAACCTGGTAACAAATGTTAGAAATACGATATCAAGTTTAAACATGATGGCCCGAAGGTTTAAAAAAGCATAATATAATACCATTTTTTAAAGGCTCGTCAGTAATACTTAGCTACATATTGTTTGGGACTGCACATCTGCACAGATGACCTGTGGAAGGGGAAGAGGGCTGTGGTCTTGGAGGGGTGTGGAGGGACATGGAGGGCTATGACAGCAGTACTGGGCTTTTAGTCGATACGGGTCTATCCCGCTGTCTTGGGTGTCTGCTGTGTTACTAGATTATGCTTTATTATTTGCCTTACAGATAATCTTTTCATATTTTCAGATTACTTAAAATTTAAAACAACATATTTGTTTTCTTTAAATTTTTTCACATTTATTTTGTGTGTGTGCATGTGCGTGTGCATGTGAGTGTGTGTACACACACACACCACAGTATATAGATGGAGATCAGAGAACAACTTTTGGGAGTTGGTTCTCTCCTTCCACCAAGTCCAGTCTGGGGATCAAATTCAGGTTGTCAGGCTTAGTGGTGGGCATCTTTACTTACTGAGCCATTTCACTGGCCCTTTGATCTCTTTTAATCCAAAGTAGTGTGATTTTAAATAGTGTACTGTAATATTGTATACTTTAATTTTTTTTTTTTTGGTCTTTTTGAGAGGTCTCCCTGCAGCCCCAGCTGGCCTGGAACTCACTACAGCAGAGATCTGCTGCCTCTGCCTCCCAAGTGCTGGGATTGAAGGCATGCGCCACCACACCCAACTTAATTTTTAAAATACTTTGTTCATATTTTTTAATACTTTTTAAAATTGCATGCCACTGTACATATGGAGGTCAGAGGTCAACCTCAGGGAGCTGGTTCTCCTTCCACACATATGGGTACTAGGGATCAAACTCAGGTCTTCAGGCTTGGCAGTAAGCCCATCTTCCTGGCTTGTTTCTTTAAAAAATTCAAAGCAAACAAACACAATTACACCTATGAAGGGCTTAAGAAATGGTGTGACTTAGGTTCTTTATTTTATTTATTTTTACTCTATGAGTGTTTTGCTTGTATGTATGGAAATGTACCTATGTGTGTAACACTGGAAGAGGCCAGAAAAGGGCATCACACCCCTTGGAAATGGAGTTATGAATGATTGTTAGCCACCATGTGGGTGCTGGGAACAGAACCTAGGTCCTCTGCAAGAGCAGCCATACTCTGAACCACTAAGCCAACTCTCCAGCCCCTGGTTTAGGTTCTTATGGAAGGCCGAGTTTCATGTAGAAGGGGCTCAGAACAGCCTGGGTGGTGCTTACAAACTTACAAACACTCAGCATGAGTGTTTATTGGCTGTCTGCTACAAATTGAAAACTGCCCTCTGCAGAAAACATTTTCTATGGCTTTCACTTGACTGTAGGGGATTCATGTGGTGAATCTGGCCAGGAAATACTAATGCCAATTAAAAGTGTCAGTTTCGACAAATTCCTTTGCTCTAAGAAATTTTTCAATGGTATTGCTGCTTTAAGATTAGTATTGTTAATAGGAATGTAGCAAAGCCAGTCAGCTCCAGGAGCTGTAAGTTCAGCCGTTCCAGGTCTGCATGGCAGAGCTCAGAAGAATTTTGGCAAATGCCTCCTAGAACTGTCAGGGTTGAAGTTCTTACTTTGGTTGAATTGCTCAGATGGAGGGGCGACCATCAGGGCAGAGAGAAAGGTCTTTGTTGGAAGCTTTGTAAGGCCTTCCAGTTGGCAAACAGCATCTTGCACCTGAAGCACAGACAAGCTGTGATTGGAAATATCAATGTTAAGAAACTCAGATTTCCAAGTTGCCCAATGCATCTTTGGTACTGAAGTTTTCTCTCAGGCAATTCTCTTACTGAAGGAATTGGACAGTGAGCCATCTGTTTATGGATGCGTGATAATTCGGAGAGCTGTATCATGTTTCCTTTATCCAGCACTTGACAGCTGCTCACCAGCGAAAAGAAAGATGAGGTTCTGTGAGAGCAAAATAATACACTTGATCCTTTCAAGTCAAGCCTTCTCTGTGAAGTATTAAGTTAGTCAACTGGCAAGATGTTTGTTGTGCAATGGAGAAGTTATGTTTGCCTTAAAAATAAGTCTGATCAAATGTTGAACATACAAGATAAATTATAGTAACATATAAACTAATTTGTATATTGATCATAGTGCCAAGCGATATTTCACAAAACTGATGTGTGTGTTTTTAAACATTTCTAATAAAGCTTACTAATGAGCAGGATTAAATGGCGAACCTCACCTTTATCTTTTGTATGATAGATTATCATTTTCACCCGGGTTATGTTTTTATACTTCTCCCATCATATCTCTACCCGCCTGTCCCCTCTGCACTGCATTCAAAGGGCAACTTTTTCAGAAGGTACCTGTCCTCTTCTTTATCTTCCATTCCTGGGTTGCTCTTATGATACAGAACTGTACTTGTGATTGTTTTGTTAACTACTAAAGACGGTGTGGTTCCTGGAACCTTTCAGAATCGGTCAAGTTGTGGGCGCCACTACCTCTACTTGATTTCCTTCTGTTTTGGTTTTCTGATTTTTTTTTAGCATGTGTGTAGGTGTTGTGGTGTGTATGTGTATATGTACATTCATTTGTGTGTGAGTACATGTGTGTGTGTGCGTGTGTGTGTGTGTGTATGTGCACTTATAAAGGTATATATGTGCACCTGTGTGTGGAAGCCCAAAACTGACATCCGGAGTTTTCCTCAATCGCTCTCCACTCTCTTAAGGCAGGGTTTCTTGCTGAACCCAGAGCTTGCTGATTCTTGCTAGTGTAGCTGGCCAGCAGTCTCAGGGATTCCCTGGCTCTCCTGGGATTGCGGGGAGCCACCACACCTGCCTGTCTTTTATGTAGGTTCTGGGAGTCCACACTCTGGTCTGCATGGTTACCCAGCAATTCACTGAGCCATCTCCCCAGACCCTGCTTCTCTGACTTTTACTATGAGTCCGATGTCTTCTGCCCACTAAAAGCCAAGTTAAGCACAAATTATAAGAATTTCAAAGAATAGAATAATTGTAAAGAACTCATTGAGTGAAACATCACTATGGGTACCTGTGTTTGCTTTGCTTGTTTGTTATCTTTGCTGTCTAGAGCAGGTTACTTGTGGCTGTCTAGTGTGGGGTCAGATTGTCCACCTGTGTGAGAATTAACTGACATGTAACAGCTGTTAGGAGTTTGAAATTTTTCAGTACTCAAAAAAAATCCTATTTCCTTTGATATGCACGTGAATATTTACTGCAAGCAAAATGATACAAATAAAATATAAATGTATAATTTCATATATCATGTACTATTAGGAGTCAAGGGGAAATGAATTGAATTACCCACAGTGCTTCAGTGCTGTTAGTTGTTTTAATAACCAGGAATCCCTAAATTAAAATTCTGTAATTCACTTAGCATAATAAATGCAATATACATTTATTTATTATCCACGTTTGTTCTATGAGCAGTTACAGGTGTATTACTTGCTCAAACCTCAGTATGTAGAATAATTCAATACTATATATTTCCACAAAAGAGGCATAAATCAGGACATGACTATGGTTGACCTAAGGGGTCACATTCTGTGGAAAATTGTCAGAAAAAGCTTTGTGAAAGAGCATTTGAGGTGGGATTTCCGAGCATGGGTATGATTTCAGGCAGCTTGGGCAGCATCAGCGACAAGCTCGCCCCATGTTAGACTCGGCACAGGTGTGACTGGAAGTACAGAGTGAGGTGCAGGTACACCTGTGATGCAGTAATGCGCCATCAGAGCATGTGCAGGTGTGTAGTTGGTAGGCTGTGATTGCTTTAACGCTGGATTCAGGAAAGACTTCCTTTTCACATGTGGTAGGGTGTGGTTCAGAGATGCTCCACCCACTAACTAACTGATGCACTTACTGAATTCATGGTTTTGTGTCTTTCAGGAGGTTCATGATCTATTAAAAAACTATGAATTAAAGTACTGTTATGTGGACAGAAATAAGCGGACAGGTAAGATGCCAGTTCTAAGCACTTGATTTCATTTTGATTTTACATAAAGGAACACTCCCTGTCTTTTCATGATTAATCACAGAAGTCTTTTTTCGGTGCTAAGGATTGAACATAGGGTCTTCCACGTGCTAGGTAAGTACTCTTCCACTGAGCTATATTCCCAGTCCTTGATAGAATTCTTAAGTATCAAATCCTATCAATGTAACAGTTTATTTTCTGAAGATAATATTAGTATCCTAAATTTTAGCCACATAAAATAATGTACTATTACTAGATATTTAGGAATTTTAATAATGAATGGTGAAGGGCTGCAGAGATGGCTCAGTGGTTAAGAGCACTGGATGCTCTTGCAGAGGACCTGGGTTCGATTCCCAGCACCCACATGGCAGCTAACAAACTGTCCTTAACTCCAGTTCCAGGGGATCTGACACTCTCTTCTGACTTCTGTGGGCATTGCACGACACAAGTGCACTTACACACATACAGGCAATATACTCATACACATAAAAGAATAAACAAAATATTAAAAAAATAATGCTGAATGTTATGTTTAGCAAGTGTTCTTTGAGGACTTGGTGGGCTTCCATTTTAATAATGTTACTGGGCTTCATGAGCAGTTTGTGTATAATTTGACCTTTAGCTTAATAAATTAAGGAGTTTAGTTTTTCTGTGAGATTAGAATGAAATTATTTCTTTTAGCATGTAATATTTGAATGCTTATAAGATTTTGAAGTAATAAAGTATGGAGAGATGGCTCAGTGGTTAAGAGCACTTACTGCTCTTGCAGAGGACCAGTTTCGATTCCCAGCACTCACATGGCAGCAATGAACAGTCCTTAACTCCAGTTCCAGGGGAATCTGATGCCTTCTTTTGACCTCTGCAGCATTGCACAACACGGGTGCACTCACATACATGCAGGCAATACACTCGTACACATAAAATAAAATTAAAAAAGAAAGTATGGAGGATGTGACCACTGTGAACAGTGTGCTTCATTATGACCACCATGTACACATGTGCTGCACTATGACCAAAGTAGACACATGTGCTCCAGTACGAATGACCACTGTGCACACAATGCTCCAGTATGACCAACATAGACACATGTGCTCCAGTGTGACCACCATACACACATGTGCTCCAATATGATCAGTGTAGACACATGTGCTCCAGTATGATCACTACATACACATTGCTCCAGTATGACCAATGTAGAAATATATGTTCCACTATGATCACTGTAGAAACACATGCTCCAGTATGACCACTGTACACACACATGTTCCAGTATGACCCCATACATACACGTGTTCCAGTATGGCCACCATACACACAGATGCTCCAGTGTGACCACTGTAGATACATGTCCTCCAATGCAAATAGTTTATCTTTAAAAATTATAATTAGGGCTATACAGCTGGATGGAAGAGCACTTTCCTAACATGTGAAAGAAAATGGGTTTAGTCCCCAGCATATGCTCCCCAAATATGTAACTAGAGCCCTAATGTAGATAATGGAATGTTTTTTAAAAGCAAAAACAAATGATAGATGCAAAGGTAATCCATTTTCCACCACTCTTCCTGCATTCCTCATCCAGTGGGTAGCACTTTAGAGAATTTGTGCGTGTTTCTAGTATGTGGTAAATGTGGTCATCCCTAGAGCTGTTCCAGATTCTTCTTTTTCTTCTGGGTTTAATAAGATAAGATGCTATTTCCTTGTCACTTTTTGAAGTCACAAGGGTGCACCTGATGTGCTTTTTGATAAGTAAAACAAGAGTGGACCCGGTACGTGTACTCTGGGTGAAGAGTTCAGCACCTGCATTGGTTCTTTTCCTGTTGTTCTACTTGCTAAAGCATTTGCAGATAACAGAGCCCCTTTCAGCTCAGGGGGGAGAGTGGCAGTGAGAAGCAGAGCCTCCCTGCTTTCCGTGTCTCATGAAGTGCAAGCAAGAAAACCTTCGGATTAGTTACAGCGCTGAGACTGTGTGGCAGTTTTCTTGTCACAGTATCTTGACTAATACCAGCAATTTTTCTGTCTCTGTACTCAGTTACTGGTATTGTTCCCTGTGTTTTTTTGTTTCAAGCTTTACATAAATAGTATTGTACTTTTTTTTTTTTTGGTCTTTTTGAGACAGGGTCTCCCTGTAGCCCCAGCTGTCCTGGAACTCACTATGTAGACCAGGCTGGCCTTGAACTCACTGAGATCTGCCTGCCTCTGCCTCCCGAGTGCTGGGATTAAAGGCGTGCGCCTAGCAACTTGCCTTTTTTCTTTTTTAACTCAATGTTGTTTTTCAAATCTTACCATGCTGGTACATATAGCTGCAGTTCCTTGATTTAAATAGCTACATATTATGTTGTGTAACTTTCTCACAATTGACATACCCATTTCTAATAGGCATGTAGGCACTTGAACCTGTCTTGTATTTCAGACGATATTGCGATACCATTTAAAATGTGTGTAACTATTTTTGGACAATTGATGTGCTTGGTTACCTTTATGCACAATTTCTTTGCTACCAGATGTTAACTAAGGGATCACATATGGTCTTCCAGTTCACACAGGAAGGGAAATAATGTTGTTGCTACCAGACATGGTGACAAATCTCATAACTCATGGCGCACCAGGAAGAGTAATAATACTCAGAAATGCTTTGCCTCAGTGGTGGGGGAGGAGGTTAGGCTCTGCATTAACTGTACTCTTGTCCTGTCTAAAAAACTTAAAAGCAACACCAAGATCAAATTGTTTCTTGGTAATTTAAACATCCTAGGACAAAACTCAAAAATATTTATATGAGCAGAGAACTCAGCACTCAAACAAGGTAAAGATTACAGTATCCGGTATTCAGTAGAAACTTACCAGGCATGGTAGAGAAGGAACTAAATAAGACTCCATATGAGGAAAAAAATTAAACCAGTTGACACTGACCTAGAATTAACACAGATAAACTAATGAAAACAGGCATTCAACTGCTTTTCAGAACTAAGCTTTACATACACAGAAAGGCACAGAAAAAAAAAAATTAAACCAAAACTGATTATGTTAAGAGGTACGGAAGACACAAAACCTTACCGACAGCAGACTTCCAAAGACAACAGTGTTTGAGATGAGATACAGTGGCCAGGATTAATGGATAATAGATATCTCAGAAGAAGAAATGAATGAATTTAAACATAAGAGTAGAAGTTTTCCAAACTGGAACAAAGAGGAAAGAGACCATAAAACATGAACTGTTTTATTAGTGAACTATGGGACATTTTCAAGAGTCCTAATTTTTGAAAAAACTGGAATTCTTAAAAAGGGAAAGAGGTAACATAGACAAAAAATATTTGAAGGATTAATGCCCCCCCCCACAAATCTTACAAGTTTGACAAAAACCTCAAACTCATAGATCAACCAAATCCAGTCAGAAAAGACCAAAGAGAACTACAAAGGTACATTGCAATCATATTGCTTATGATTAATGCTAAACAGAAAATCTTAAAAGCAGAAAAATGATGCTGGAGAGATGGCTCAGTGGGTAAGTTTGAACGCTTGTAAAAAGCTGGGCTCTTTGTGTGCCTGTAGCCCCAGCTTTGGGGACAGAGACAGGTGGATCCTGTGAGCTCACTGGCCAGCCAGCCTAACCAAAAGAGTGAACTTCTGTCTTGAGGGGATAAGACAGACAGAGAGCAGTAGAGGAAAATACCTCACATGCTCCTCTGACCTCAGAACGTACATGCCCTTGCACACTCACATACATATACGAGAGAGAGAGAGAGAGAGAGAGAGAGAGAGAGAGAGAGAGAATGGAAAAAGAGGGTTGTTATCTTTAGAGAGATAAAGGTGGCCAAATATTTTAATATGAGTAAGAAGTAAGAAGGTCACAGGACTTTTTTTTTTTTAAAGAGAAAAATAGTTAACATAAAATTCTTCACCCATTGAAAAAAGCTTTGAGAACTGAGGGTGAAATAAAGATGTTTTTCAGCCATTCAAAAATATTGAGTTTATCACCATCAAACTGGCATTATAAGGAATTATTTAGAGAAGTTATTAAATCAGAAGAATATGACCCCCCCCCCACAGAAACAGGTGTGGTCATTATGGGAGTAGAGACTTTCTTTACTATTTAAGTTTCTTTAAAAAATGACTGATTAAAGCAAACAAAAACAGTGGTATACTGTGAAGTTGATGACACAGGTAGAAATACGATGTGTAACAGCAACATTGCACAGGAGGGAGAAAGGGAAGCAAGGGGCATGTCCTGTGCTGAGCATGAGGTCGTTGAATACCCCTTAACTGATAGGTTGATGAGGCCTGCTGTAAGCACAAGTGATCTGCTAAAACAAGACAACAAAACCCACATTAATAATATTAAGTGATGCTGCCTTCGATTTCAGTAGCTATGCAGTGTCTACAGATGCATGTAATTAATAAGCAGATTTATAAAATATAGTACAGTTAGAAATCATAGCCCTATAAACAGAACTTTTCTGTGCCAGATACAAGGCTATTATTGTATCAAAATATGGTACATAGAGAGAATTGTCATGCTTTCCATCAAATTTGTTCCAATAATAAATTTGATAGCAGACCAAGCAATAACTTATACAAGGATTAGAACCAATTGTAGATTAAAAATTCCCTGGGAACATAGTGATAGAATCAATCCTGAATTCCCTTACAAACTTCCTTCCATAAAGTAGTCTTGCTACTTCAAGAGCCAAAGGAAGAAACTTTACTTTTCTCTAAGGAAAAGGTCAGAGAGCACGCAAGTGCTCAGCTTGCTCTCTCCACTTTCATACAGTCGGGATGCCTTGCCTAGGGAATGGTGCCACCCACAGTAGGCAGGTCTTCCAGCCTCAGTTCAGTAATCAAGATAAATCTGCACAGATATGCCATAGGCCTACCTGACCTAGATAATCCCTCACTGAGACTCTTCCCAGGTGATTCTGGATTGTATCAAGTAAACAACAAAACTAATCATCACACCAGGCAATAAAGGAAGGTGAGCAGTTTGGAGGTATTTCTTCCGTCCCTTTGGCAGGGATGAAGATGATGTATGTATATTGCAGAATATATACACACACATATTCACATACATATGCATCTGTATTTGCACATTCAGGTGGGACTCACTGTCTGTCTGTCTGTCTGTCTGTCTCTCTCTGTCTCTCTGTCTCTCTGTCTCTCTGTCTCTCTCTCTCTCTCTCTGTGTGTGTGTGTGTGTGTGTGTGTGTGTGGAGTTGAAGAGTGGATTTGGCAGCTATTACAGGTCTTCTTGGGACTCCCAGACTACATTATTTTGCTGAATTAATTGATTGCATAGTCCCTCTTACTTCCTTTTTAATGAAACATTTGTATCTTTGTTAAATGTCTGCATCCCCCATTGGATTGTCAGCTCAGTGATGAAAGGGATGTTTCCTGTTTTAATCAACAGTGCTTGGCAGATGCCTAATCTGGCAATTGGTGCATACTATTGAATAAATGGGAAAGGACTTGGCTGCCTCAGGAGAGGATTGTGGACTAAGAGGAGCAACTCTGGCTTTAGCTAACTGAGTATGGCCATGGGAGCATTCCCATGTGTGAATCTGCCAGGAAGGACCTACAGGCTGCAACCTTGCAGGTGTAAGCAGAGGAGACCAATGTGGCAAGGGAATAGAAGGAGAGCTCAGACGGGTATGCGGAGGCTCAGGAAAGGATACAAGGAACTTAATAAGGGGAATAGCTATCCGCTTCAAATTCCCTAACATTCCAGCAGCAACTCATGTTTTTTCAGATGATACAGGAACATAATTAGTATTAACCAACTGTAGATTGGCTTGTATGTTTTAGGAACAGAGCTAAGTGGTATTTTATGACATAGAATCTGTGATGGTTAATATTGTCAACTTAATAAGATAGAGTCACCTAGAAGACAAATCTCTGGTCATGTCTGTGAGGAAGTTTCCAGATTGACTAATAGAGGGGGCAAAAAAACCCCTGAAATGTGGGTGCACCATTCCGTGGCCTGGGGTCCTGCACTATGTAAAAAGGAGAAAGTGAGCTGAGTACCAGCTTTTGCTGCTTCCTGCTTCCTGACTATGGATACTGTTTAATCAGCTGCCCTGAGCTCCTGCCTGCCCGCCATGATGTATTGGTACCCTCAAAAACTCCAAACCAAAAATAATACTTTATTTTTGGTCTTTTTGAGACAGGGTCTCCCTGTAGCCCCAGCTGGCCTGGAACTCACTATGTAGACCAGGCAGGCCTTGAATTGACAGAGATTCGCCTGTCTCTGCATCCCCAGTGCTGGGATTAAAGCCATGCACCACCATGCCCGGCTTTAATGCTTTCTTTCTTTAGGTTACCTTTGTTGGGTTGTTTTGTTACAGTAATGAAAAAAGTAATATAAAACCAAAGTAATTTAACCTTTAAAAAGAGTGGACTTTCCAGAACAGCTATAAATTGGGGAGGGGGGGGCGCCCACCCTTCTGTAAATAAACCCTCACTGTATGCTCTGTTAGCAAGCCCAATAAACTAGTTTGGATTTAAAAAAAGAAACAAAACTAAAAAACAGAGCTAATGGAAGCCTTCATTATTCCACCAAAGTTGACCTCATGTTGGCATATTACTGTTTTTTTTTTTTTTTTTGGTCATTTTGAGACAGGGTCTCCCTGTGGCCCCACCTGGCCTGGAGCTCGCTATGTGGACCAGGCTGGCCTCGAACTCACAGAGATCTGCCAGGCTCTGCCTCCCAAGTGCTGTGATTAAAGACGTGTGCCACTATGCCCAGCTTTGGTCTTTGATTTTTCTTTTTTCTTTTTTCTTTTTTGGTCATTTTGAAGCAGGCTCTCCCTGTGGCCCCAGCTGTCCTGGTACTCACTATGTAGACCAGGCCCAGGCTGGTCTTGAACTCACAGAGATTTTCCTGCCTCTGCCTCCCAAGTGCTGGGACTACAGGCGTGAGCCACCACGCCTGGCTTTAATAAAAAAATTATTATTTTTATTTTATGTGTATGAGTGTATTTCCTGCATGTGTGTGAGTACACCCATGTCCTGCAATGCCGCGGAGGTCAGAAGAGGGCTTTGGATTCCCCTGGAACTGGAGTTGAGGAGGTTCGTAGCCACCATGTGGGTGCTGGGAATCAAATCTGGGTCCTCTGCAAGAGCAGTCAGTGCTCTTAATCACTAAGCCATCTCTCCAACCCCGGGTCCTTGATTTCTTATCCCTGCTTTTCCACCCTTAAACTTCATTGTGTATATATTTTTATGTAACCTGCTTCAAGTTATTTCTGGATAAATGTGTTAAAAATTGCTTCTCTTTGGAATAATAAAAATATTCTAAAAAAATCAGTTTTTCTCGGGAGGCAGGCAGAGGCAGGTAGATCTCTGTGAGTTCAAGGCCAGCCTGGTCTTCATAGTGAGTTCCAGGAGAGCTGGGGCTACAGGGAGACCCTGTCTCAAAAAGACCAAAAAAACAAGTTTTTTAATGACTGCATGGCAATTCATTCTATGAACATATCAAAATTTCTTTAGCTCATTTCCCACTGTATCTCCAGTATTTCACCATTATAAATAAATACTTAATAAAAAATTTGCATATAAACCTTAAAAAAAAGGTTAGAAACTAAGAGTTATACTCTACAAGATGGCAAAGCTGTTTTTTTCTCTAGTGTTGGAAGAGTTACCTGGTGCTTTGGCAATGGGGTCCTTGGCATTTGGAGACCACGCTAATGAAAAGTGCATTGCTCTAAATGTTAAAGGCACACTGTGGTGAGATGCTCAGACTCTGAGAGCTGCATGGACACTGAGGCCAGCTGAGGAAAGATGGAATGACTCATGCTGCTGAAATTCTTCCTTTTTCTCTTCCTGTTCATGTAGTTGCTATGAGCCACATACTACCGTGCTGTTCTAATGGAATCTAGGTAAATCAAACGCTTATTTGGAGCAGTTCCACTCTCTTCTCCATCGAGTAGGAAAGGGAGGAACTTTTAAGAGAGTAGTTTACTTGTGGTTTGTGGCTTGCCCTGTGTTATTTCTTTAAAGCGGAGGCTTTCAAATTCTTTTAAACTGTTCATATTCTTTTATGATGAGAGATAAATTGATATAGCTAAAATTTAATTTTAACAAATATGCATGTATATGATATTTCATTATTTTACATTGCATTACTTTATATTTGGGATGTGTGTGTATGTGTGTGTGTGTGTCTGTCTGTCTGTCTGTATGTGTGTGTATGCTTGAGGCAGGGCCTCACAATATCAACTCTGTAGCCCAGGGTGGCCCTGGATTTATGATCCTCGTGCCTCAGTCTCACATGTGCTGGAATTCCAGGCATGTGTCAGCATGCCCAGCTTATATCATGTTTTTTAATTGCATACATTGTCACATGCATTTGTTGTTGTTGATGAAAATTTTTTGGTAGTTTTAAAAACCGCTTTACTAAGATTTGAGGTTAAAATGTTTGTTTAAGCTCAGAATTAAGTCTTTTTTACATTTGATATTATTCATCAAAATAGTATATGAATTGATATACATACATACAGGGGTTGTTTGAAGCTAATTAATCTAATTTTATTATGATTTCTTTTTTTAAATTGCATTTACTTTTTGTGTGTGCACATGTGCATATTCATGTGTGCAGCAATGCACATATGGTGGTCAGAGGAAAACTATTTCTTACTGTGGGCCACACAGGAAAAAAGGAAAGTGGTAACCTAGAAATTCAGTTCATTTTCTTATCTTACAGCTTTTGTTACCTTATTGAATGGGGAGCAAGCGCAGAATGCAATTCAGAAGTTTCATCAATATTCTTTTCGAGGCAAAGAGTTACTGGTGCAGCTCCAGCCCACAGACGCTCTGCTGTGTGTCACCAACCTGCCTGTCTCTTTTACATTAGAAGAGTTTGAAGAACTTGTTCGTGCTTATGGAAATATCGAGAGGTGTTTTCTGGTCTACAGTGAAGTTACTGGCCATTCCAAAGGCTATGGGTTTGTGGAGTACATGAAAAAGGACTTTGCTGCCAAGGCGAGGCTGGAGCTGTTGGGCAGACAGGTGGGAACGTCAACACTCTTTGCACAGTGGATGGATGTTAATCTATTGGCCTCCGAGCTCATTCATTCTAAGTGCCTTTGTATAGATAAACTCCCTAGTGACTACAGGGATTCAGAAGAGCTGTTGCAATTTTTTTCCAGTATCCATAAACCTGTGTTTTGCCAGGTATGTATTTTTAAGAGCTCATTAAAGATACTTAAAATATCTACATATATCTACATATATATATTCTATGTTTATATCTATACCCCAAGTTTGTCTTTCATATCCATACGAATATCACAGTGGATGGCTTGATTCTGCTCTAGTCTATAATGAGGACTCTAATTGCATGAGAAATTTAAAATCAGTTCCTTCTGTTGATGGGCCCAAGTATATTGTTTTGGTTCCTTATGTCTTAGCAGATCCATGTCTTACCTCTCTTCCATTAACCCACTTGTCTCTCTAACTCTTGTTCATTACCTTCTCTGGACCAGGCACTAGGATAAGGGTCAGAAATGCAGAGAGGAGGTGGTATCTCAGTGCCTCAAGTTTTATAGACTAGAATGGCAAGCGGAAAAATTACTGCACATTCCATATGAAGAGTGATGTGATGGAGGATAGCAACTGCTCATAAAGGCTAAGGTGGATGCACATTTCTGTCTTAATGGAGCTGTGGTGGGCGAGGCTCATAGAGAAGATCCTGACCACTGGCGGGAGTAGGGAGCATCCACAAGCACTTTCATCGTAGTCAGAAGAAACGTATCTGAACGACTGGGCAGAAATACACTGTGTGACTCTTGTACTTATAGTTTTGTGACAACAGCTGACCGGTTCTTTCTCTTACATGGCTTCATTTGTTCGCTTTCGCCTCCTCCCTTCCATGTTCCTCCTCTTTCCTCCTTCCCTCCCCCCTTCCTCCCTCCCACTGTCATCATCTCTCCCTCCCCCTCCTTCCTTCTCTTTCGCTCTTCTTTCTTTTATCACATACTTGTGGAATTCCTACATTGCAGTAGAAATTTTGGAATTGGACTGTGCACATGAATGTGTGTTTAAATTAACAGGTAGAATTGAGTGTATTAATTATGCTGATCCTGATGCTATAAATTATACACATATTGTGGGATGCCTAAGCCCAGCTGACCAAGCATGTATTATCCACAGAATTATCTTCTATGACAAGAATACTCAGCATCCACTCTGAGCACTTTTATGGAATATGGTGCTATTCATTGTAATGCAGCAGTTTTTTTTTAATAATAGATCTGAACTTATTTTATTATCTAACTGAAAATTTATATCCTGTGACCACCTTCTCTATACCCCCTACCCAAAGCTGTCCCAGCCACTGGATGTCCCACCCCCATTCTGCTCCCTACCTCTGTGACATCAACTTTTTCAGATTCTGCATATGAGTGAGATTATACAGTAATATGCACATTGTCGATGGATGCTGATGCCTTTCTTTTTCTTACGCCTACTGATCCCAGTAAAGTATTAAAGAAGCCATCTAAGAAGTATATGAAATGAGAATATTTTGAGACAAACCTTTGATCCAATATCTTTGCCCATTTATTGACAGTGCATTGGCTGATTGATATGCTGTTCTTGATACTAAGAGTTATATAGTGATATCACTCTCTGTGGCCAAATATAATTCCTTGTATCTTAACAGAGAGGCCTTTGGAACAAATGTGAGGGGCAAAGCCGTGTAGCATGCAGTGTATCTGAACTGTAAACCCAAGAGTTGACAGAGACCTTACAGATTATCCAGGCTAGCTATACACTAAGAGAAAATGTTTGCTATGATTCTTTTGAGTGACTCTTCACTCTGCAAAAATACTTGAAGATGGTGGGAACATGTCTCAGTGGTTCTCATACTGAGCTGAAATAACCCACTCTAAAACCACTCCTGCTGAGGGTTTTAAAGTGATTTTGTTTTGAAAGTCTTAAAATGATATGGTTTATATATGAATGGATGTCATCATAATGAAACAATAAATAGTAATGTTTTAAAGTCCCACAAGCTTATTAAGGCAACATGTGTACAGCTCCTTATCTATGGGTATGTCAGATTTGGGCTCTTTTCCACGGTAAGGTGGTAGAAAGTGGATTGAAGACACACTCTCTTGCCATCAAGAAACCAAAAGGATGACTGGCATTTGCAGCTCTGTCTTGAAGACGTGGGTTAGATTATAAGAGGAATTGAGTTGTTAGAGAAATATTTGGAAGAGGTAGGTATTTTTCCTTTTGCCTACTTGTTTGTAAAAAGTTTTATGAAAAGAAAACAACTGAGGACAGTTTTAAAAGGAGTGAAGAGCTGGAAGAAAAAAAAGGAAATTCAGTCTAAGTATACCAACAAATTCAGTCTAAGTATACCAACAAATTCAGTCTAAGTATACCAACAAATTCAGTCTAAGTATACCAACAAATTCAGTCTAAGTATACCAACAAATTCAGTCTAAGTATACCAACAAATTCAGTCTAAGTATACCAACAAATTCAGTCTAAGTATACCAACAAATTCAGTCTAAGTATACCAACAAATTCAGTCTAAGTATACCAACAAATTCAGTCTAAGTATACCAACAAAGTAAAAGAAAGTTGTTTCTTTTACCATTGATTTTTATTATCTAAAATTGTGCGTGTGTGTGTGTGTGTGCTTGTGGGTGGATACAGAGATCAGGATACTCAAGGTTGTTCCTCCTGGAGCTAAAGTCATAGGCAGACATGAACGGCACGATGTGGGTGCTGGGAACCGAACTCAGGTCCTCTGCAAGATCAGTGCACGCTCTTAACTACTGAGCCGTCTCTTCAGCACCCCCAAATTAACTTTTTAAAAAAATAGTTTTTATTGAATTTTTGTGTATTTTGTACAGAACATCTCCAACAATATAAAAGCTGGACGTGGCCCCTTCCACCTGTTTTCTTTTAGCTGCACTAACTCTATTTTCCATTGGTAGGTGGTCAAATAATTAGAATGTATCCACGCTCTTAACTACTGAGCCGTCTCTTCAGCACCCCCAAATTAACTTTTTAAAAAAATAGTTTTTATTGAATTTTTGTGTATTTTGTACAGAACATCTCCAACAATATAAAAGCTGGACGTGGCCCCTTCCACCTGTTTTCTTTTAGCTGCACTAACTCTATTTTCCATTGGTAGGTGGTCAAATAATTAGAATGTATCATTGTCTG